TAACACGGTCTGAGCAATCCAAACTGTGTTATGCACTAAGCATTCAAATAGTGCACATAGTTGGGAACTGATTTTGTTTTGCCATGAGATACGTCATGCACTCCAATGAAATTAAAACAAACAAACAATCCTGTGAAGCTCAGACCTCGCTGCTCTTGACCTATTTTCATTCATTTACGCAAAAAAAAAAAAGTCAGTTTACATGGTGTAGTGCTTGTTTTGTGAACTGGAATATCAGATACCAATTAGGAAGTAGAATTTTAGTCCTTCTGTAATTATTTGGGAAACACAAGGCAGTTTTGCAGGAATGTTATTCTTTCCCCTGGATTCCAAGGAACAGACAAAACAATGCTGCCTTATAAAGACATTTAGCAGCAGTAAAACTGTGCCTGGCTGGTGGGATACGTACACATGCTGTAAGCTTACAGGACAGTTAAACCCACAGTATGCAGAGAACCTACACTCAGTCTTTAACTTTTATTTTATCTTTATTTAGAAAGGTTAAACTCCTCTGTGCAGTATGCGTGACTTGTTGCATCCCTTTGGGCATTAATTAAATATCAATTTATAGAATGAAAGTATGTATTTTGATAGCACAACTCCCTGTACATCTGTAATCCACTGTATTTTCCTATCAGATGATTCTCCTACATAAACACACGTTGGTCTAGTGGGCTGCGCCGCACAGTTTCTCAGTCCATAAAGTCTTATCTGCTGATTGGTCAATTCAGGCAAAAATTCCCAAGACCCTACAGGAATTTGACTTGAGCGTTTATCCTACCAGACATCTCTACAGAGAGACTGGGCATCTGCTGGGCTCTATTTAGAGACTGGGAGGCTTCTCTGGAACAGGACACACAGTTCAACCTCAAGTCAAACAAAGTAAATGTCAACTTCAACAACCATGTCTGGCCACACCGAGGGAGAACGAGCAATCTTTTCCAAAATCACGCCTCACACGCAGCCGCTGTGTGTCTTGATTACCTGCTCTGTATGGCAGGCGTTTAATAGCAAAAGTAGAAATCCCAAGCGCAGCAGTGTAATTCAGTCAGTTGCTAGCCAAACTCAGGCACTGGGGGAGTTGCTAAATGAAGGTTGGCTCCACACCAAAGCGCGGCTTTTGACCCACTTCAAATAAAAATATTTGGGGATTTTCACAAGTTTTGGAAGACTGAACAATGTGTGCTTCTCAAAGAGCAAGCCCGATGAAACACTCCTCTGGAACTTGTAAAGATTTTCAAATGAATTAATTGTTAAGTGTCTCTAGAGCTGAGCTTTGGTGTGCAGCAAGCCTTTTTCATTATGCCAGAGAATTAACTGCTCAGGTCTCACATGGTGTAAAATACACCCAGGAGAGATGGCAGAAGTGCTCCAGCACCACTTGTTTTGTTTAACTGTACCAGGACAAATGGATGCCTCTTGCCTCTTGCCGTCTGCATCCCACTGTCAAATGCACTCACACGTGCATGCATGCATGCGTGTAGCCTCAGACTATGGGAAAAGGAGCAAAAAGGAAGCACTCCTTGCTGGTCACACCCTTTACAAATAACAATCTGCACACGCCATCTCCGGACTGAGATGTCTAGCTGGAGGGAAAACCAACAGACAGAAAATGGGACACAGAGTTGGGAAAATGAGGCCCGGAGCTGTCTGGGTCCTCTCAGGTCCTCTTGCCTCGCTGCCAAAGCTACTGTTCACACCACAGCTTATTTAATTGAAAAGGCATGGCTATAAAAACACTGTTAAGTAGAACTGCCTTGTTCTCTATGAAACATGTATACTTGTGCACCTGGCTCTCTATCCTACCAGACTTTTCAGCCTCAAATTTAGACAGTTTAGGGCTGTAACTAACTATTATTTTTACTATCAATTTATCCGCTGATTATTTTCTCAATAAACGGATATATTGTTTGGTCTATGACACATAAGAAATCAGTGAAAAAGGCCATCACAATGTCTTAGCACCGAAGATGAGATAATCAAATGTCTTGTTTTGTCCAGTGCAGGTGCAAAACCCATTAAAGTTATTCAATTTATTTTCATGAAAGTCAAGAAGAAGCAGCAAATTCTCATGGAAATATCAAGTGACTGAACCAATTAATAAATCAATAAACTGACTAATCATTGCAGTTCAAGTTATACACTAAAACTAAAGTCATGAATGGCTGGGTATCAAACTTGTACCTACTGAAATGTCTCTATGGCATCAAATATCAAAAACTGCCATGTAATCTGAACAGGTTTTGTTTACATATTTTTTGATCTGATATTTCCCGCCTTGGCAAAGTTCTTGTGCGAACATTGTTTGTTTGTTTTGAACATGACAATTCGAGAAATGTGAATTGGTTTAGTAAACAAACAAAAAAGAGTTCAGAAAAGATCCAAACCAGATCCTAAACTATAAATTCATCAACTGCTGATCACTTTGCTTAAGTGCAATTCATCCATAAGCAAGAAAATGCAAACCCACATAAAATAAAAAACCTATAGGGAAGCCTGTTTGACTGCTAAAAAGCGAGTCACAATTTATCTTTCAACTGTGTAAAGAACAGTTAACATATCTTAACTGCGCTTTCTTGACTTTGGAGATAGTAGCTGACAAAACAATGTCATCAAGAGGTCCATTCACTGGCTGTTCTGGAGCTCTCAATCAGTATCTATTTACAGGAACTACAAGAATATAACAAATAAAAAGCCAATAGTAAGAATAACATGGAATTCAAATGTCTAATAGCTTTAACATCTGGTCTGTCATTAATGAGAACTTCTCATACACAACCTATCTTCTTGTTGTGATGTAATATTAAACCTCTTCAAAATGTTCATACAGTCAGCCCAAAACTGACTTTACACTTCCAACCATGAGTTAAACCTCACACATTGGTAAAAGATTACTACAGACATACAGTGCTTAAAGCAGAAGTATGAGAAGTTCATGAATGTTACACTCCTGACACTGCTACAACAAACTGTCAAGAGGCAGAAGAACAGTTGATTAGACTTGTTTCAATCAGGACCAAGTGGCTCTTGAAATCACCACACAAACTGTCTTCATTTATCACCCCGAGGGTAGGAAGAGGAATCAAGCACTTTGGTGCAGAGGACATTCTTTCTTATAAAAACTCTAAGTAAGCTCCGTAGCTCTCTCTCTATTTGGCCATAGAAGGGAAACCATGCAGTCCAGCAGGAGAAACCCATCCAACCTGCATCCTTAAAATCCTCCAAATATTTATTCTACAAGTCATTACTGGCAGTGTGTATAAAAAACTGCACAGGGACTGGCTTGAAAACTGAATTCATCAACCACTACTGTGGGCAGTATTGAGAAATTATAAAAAGTGAGATGATTATGATGAAGTTTTACAACCACAGTACGTCCAGCCTGCATGGGCTTACAAGAAACTGCAAATTACTGTAAACCAGATCCAATTCAAATAATTCAAAAATAAAGAAAACCAACTCACATCAGTCAGATTTTCAAACTGTCAACTTGCTAGCAAAATTGACAGCATTACTCGACTTCTGTATATACATATCTGCACAGCTTTCTACACAAATGTCATGTGTAAAGTATTTAAGTATATGTAATCTATAGAGCCAGCTTTTCAATGTCAATTACGTCTCTACCTTTGTTATATTTGTTATTTTAAATACCTCCTAATATGTTTAATTCCTTTACATACGGTTTCTTGTACTGCTGTTATATGTGAATTTCCCCTCTGGATATCAATTATCTTTATCTTATCTTGTCTTATCAATTACCAATAACTCCAACCTATGAAAATCATAACACCAGAATATTTCAGGGTTTCTTCAAGCCATTTCATCTTTACATTAAGACAAAACAGAGAGGAAAAACAATGGCACTCAACTTGCACAAATCAAAACTGCTCACACAATCCGTTTTGCTCCTGTATATTTTAATCTGCCAACTTTAAAAACAGTTCCCAAAGGTTATTCAGCTTCTAGATAAGATGTAACAAACATTTCAGTAACATATATGTCCTTAAATTTAGTTTTGAGAGGATATTATCAGACCAGTTCTCCTCAAACTTGGACAAAAGTTTATTTTTCATGGTGTTATGATTACAAAGAAGTTATTTCTGTTGTTTTCTGATCTATCATTTGCTACTGTGCTGGCAAACACCCACTATAGAGGCATCGTGTGAACATACAAGTCAAATATCTGGAGTTTCCAACAGTAGAAAGCTGCACTATAGATCTCCTTCTGACACCTTAACAAAACTGTCTACAACCACCGAGTTCTGCTGAGTAAAAGCTCTAAAACTGCCATCAGGGATCAGTTTGCACTTTCATCACAGATGGCAGAGGTGAGGAGAGGAGATGGGGAAACTGATTCCAAGCCACAGCCCCATCTAAGACGTAACGCTACCCCGCACTTCTCTCTTCATTCACAAAGCATGCTTGACATCATGCTTGACACTGGGCCACTGACAACACAGCTGATCGAAACCGGTCTATTCAAACAGTGCAAATTGCGCTGTGTGTCTGTGTGTGTGTGTGTGTGTGTCTTGGGTGGAGTCTCTTACTGCATATTTCACAGGGAAATACAGGTTTAATCGAAAGGTAACATCAGGAGGAATGCACACTATTTACAGTGTGGCTCATCGTGCCAACAACTTTCATACAATGGCTTATTGTTGCTGCTCAAACACACAAGATTTCACACGTGGGCATCAAAATTCAAACACAGGTGAAGTGACAACATCTGCATCAATGATATGCTAGGTAGTTTGATAAGTGTTCATACCGATACATGTTCAAATACGGGTCAATACTGAGCAATACAAGACGGTAGCACCTGTTGAATGACAACTACACATTTACGGTTAAAATGAAGCTATAAAGGCACTAAATATGTACATTGACCTGATGAGATACACACACTCTCTCTGTGAGTCCCCTCTCCCGTGCTCGGGGGCTTATTAAGTCTGCCGGTGGATTCACAAAGGTGAACGACCGCTGCAGGGTCGGCTTACCTGAGTTTTAGGTTAGCCATGAATTCCTCCATAGACACGTTGTCCAAAAGCACAAAATCTGCTTTTCCAAACTCCAGACTCTCGTGTTCTGCCATGTTTCTTCTACTTTATTCTCACCGAAACTCGTGGAAATAAAAAAATATATATATATATATCAACGGCTTGCTTTGAAGTGCCGACAAAAGGTGAACATTGGCGGGCTTCACCGAGCACCTCCTCTCCCTCAGTGGACAGCTGTGTGGTCGATGAGCATTTTCATTCGTCCGGTAAAAAGTCAAATTTTAATTTCAGTCATGTTTAATTAAGGTCGAAAACGGTTATAAAAAATATACTGTAGCTATAAACAGTGAAAGTAAATGCTCGTAAACGCGTTTTTCCTTCTTAGAAATTCGGCTTTTGTGTTAGAAATAGTAAATTATCCCAAAATATCCTCATGTCCATACAAAGTTTCTTCTCTACGCCAATGTATCCCTGTCCCGTTGCATCGTGCGCCAGCTCCGTCCGTTTTCCTGGAGTTTCTCTCTGTAGTCCACACAGACCATCCACCAATAGGATTGAAGCCTTCTCCACTAATCCCCGCCCCCCCCGCTCTGTGGAGAGGTGTTGGTCAGACTGTGCCCTATGTGTAACTTGAAAAGCATTACAAGTATTTCTGAAGACCACTGCTCCACTGTTTCTGATACATATTTGAGCGATGACGAGGCCACCTCTAAGTTGTAAAACACTCGGAGGAAAACCATAATGTTTTGGCCCGACTTTTATGATGCCCTCTGTTACCATAAAAGGAAAAATTAGGGCTGTCAGGTTTTTTTCTCAATGGGGATATGAATGAAAAGTACAGTTGTGATAGAGGCTGTATTATTCTTCATTCAATCCACTGACTTTTAACTATTCAAAATCAGTTGTAAACACATCATCTCTTTTGTTCTGGCTTTGTTGAGTCTGAATGAGGCCTCCTGTTTAAAAGCTCCTGTTAAAGGAGCTGAACACCAGGAACAATTATCCACCAGACTTACACTGATGTTAGTGCGCCACCTAGTGTAAAACAGAGGTAAATGCCTTTTCTACATAATTAAACTCAACCTCAAAGTAAGAACAGTAACACAAGCCAAACGAGCCATTGTTAATTTGTTTCAAATTTGGTTTGTACCCTTTGAAAAGACATATTTTTCTTTTTATTTATTTATTTAATTTTATTTATTTATCTAAAAGGGACAATGCAATTTAACGTAGTTCCAAAACAAAGCATGAAACTGATTTGTTGCACAGAGAGTTTATAGCTATTGCTAATTTTCAACTCTTGTCCCTAGTTGGGCTTTAACAGCTTTTACGTGTCGTCAGAATAACATAATAAACTGAATTAAAACATTTTGAATAATTTTTTCCAAAAATGTTTAAATGTACACTTTGAGGGTGACTCAATCCTCATGTTATACCTGCACAGTAAGTCAAATGATAGGATGATGGCTAAATAAACTTGTAGACATAATAATTGTCAAGACACTTCTCCACCTGGATTGGGTGGATAGGAAAGCAAGAGGCAATACCAGCCTTTGATTCAAAAAATAATAATAATCATCAATGTTATCACATTACTAAAGAAAATACATTTACAGGAAATCTTGACACTTTTCCATTTGATGTTAGGTGATGTTAAGAGATTTGTCCCTAGTTCAGGGTTTAATGACTCTGACTTTTCCCAGATTAGGTCTCCAGAGAATTAAGAATGAATGTTGAAAATCATTCAGTTTTATGCAAAGAATGGTTTTTTTTTTTTTCTTTTTTGACTGACCGACTTTGCTCTGAGCCCTTCTCTGATGGTGTGCTATTTGCATCTGTGAATGAAAAAGTGACACATTCAGGAGCTGATGCAGAGCATGGAGACGTGTGGAGGAAAAATTGTATAGAGGCTACCTGAGTCAGAGCTTCCTGCTGCTGCTTAAGTGTTGTTTCTTCACACCTCAGGCTCTCCGTCTCCTGCAATACAACATCGTGAGCGTTTTTAGCACAGACTGACATGTTGTGGCCTCAAAAACTATAAAATTCTTGCAGATTCATGATAAATAAGGATTAACATAATCAGGAATGATTAAGATGTTCCAACTCATATCCACAACAGACAGAAGCGGAGATGTGGCGATGATGTCTCTTAAAATATCTGTTTTTAGGCAAAAAAAAATAAAAATAAAAAGGATTTTTTCAGTGCAGAGAAGAGTTTGAAACAAAACTTAGACCATATCTTTGGGAGAAAAATTTAAATTTTGTAAGTTTCATAGATACTTTTGTAAAAAGTCAAACGTTTCTTTGGCCCGGGGGACTGTTTTGGACTTTTTGACCACAGTATTTGAAAGATTTTGACTACGACTCTGGACAGAGGTGCTGTAGAGGTTTGAAGCACCATATGGCAATTTACCCTTAAATTCAGCATTCATTACTTAATTTTGTGTTACATTACAGATGCTGCAACCAACAGTTAATATTATTATCGTTTAATCTGTTGATTATTTTCTCTATTGATTGGTTGGTCTATAAAATGTCAGGAAATAGTGAAAAACACCCGTCACTAGTCCAAGGTGATGTCTTCAAACTAAACACAACGCTATAACATTTCAGGAGACATAGGATAAAAGCAGCAAATCTTTACATTTGAGAAGACCGATACTGCTATTTGCTTGAGAAATTACTAAAACAATTAAAAGTTGTGTTGATCAACTAATCAATTCACCTTGAACACAGCAGTAGATTGATTCTCCATGCTCCGAAGCTTCAGCTCAGTCTGGGAAAAAAAAGAAGAAAATGTGTCAAACAAAACTTGAGTTTGTCATCCGACTTTGTAAGTAATTGGTTTTAATATAATGTTCTATTCTCTTTATAAGATGAGTGTGATAGAGGCTCAGCACAGATCTGTCTGTGCTAAACAACATCTGGGAAAACTTTTGTTGCATAATGTATGAATTTTTACGTTCCATCTGCCTTCTAGTTTTGAAACATCAGTGAACAAAGCTCATACTCACTGAATCCATGTTCCCTGAGCAGCCGACCGCACAAGACGACAACGTTACAAACACAGCCACAGCAAAGACAACCATCGAGGAACAACATTTTTGTGAAATGACAATCATATGGCTTCTCACTCGCTCATTGTATAATCAAATAGAATTACTGTATTTATATCCATTTCTTTTGAGTTAGTTTGTTTGTTTTTGTTTAGTTTTTTGTTTTTTGGAACATAAAATTTATGTCCAGATTAGTTCAGATTTTTTTTTTTATCAAATACAATAAACAGACATGAGGTTTGATTTATTTAAGCAAAAAAAGTTCATATTTTTAGTGGTATGAGAAAGCAAATATTTATATACTGGTTATATTCATTAATTAGAATAATATCTTACGAGATAATGTTACTAAAAAGGAAAAAATAAAGAATAAAAATAAAGAATATAAAGGAATATGGAATAAATGTATGTTACATATGAAGAAAACCAATTTGATTTCATGAATGAAGTGTTACTGCTTAATTCTCAACAATTTCATGTATGTATTTTATGTTGTTGTGATTTGACACTTGGTTTGGTATTTAAGTGAAATTATTTAAAAATAGTTACATATTGTGTACAATTTTCTGACAGTTATGATGCATTTTCAGTGGATTCAGTTTCAGGCTCTTGAATCAGTTTACCAACATACTTCACACATACAGTACATGTACTTCAGGCTTTGTTGTGGGTTGTTGCACTCGGGCCACAATCGGACCACACTTCAGCGGGATCCCTCAGCACAGACTCGGCCAAGTCTTTGCCAGAGTAATACTAGAAACTGCAATTTCTTCTGCTTACAGTGCAGTTTGTATTCTTCATCCCCCTTTCCTTTTTCCATCTCTTCATACTACTTCAACTGCTTCTTCATTCAAATTCAAGCCAGCGACACGGTTGAGCTTCAGCTTGTGCAGAAGCAGCAATCCAACTGCTATTTCTTCAGAAATTCCATTTTCTTGTTTAAACTTCCCTTTTTTTCTCTTTCCTTTTTTCTCACATGGACATAAAATATATTGCATACAGCGAATGATGCACATTTGACAGTTTGAATGCCTGCATACACTTCTTACATGTATATGTGCAAACTAATCCACCTATAGGAAGTTGATGTTCCTATCAAACAGACCATTAGAGGGTAACATAAGCAATCCAACTAAAGCACCAACCCATCATTAAAGTGGTCCAGTAGTTATCATGCTTCAGTGTTGTTTTAATGACAGAAAGAAACGGACAGAAACTGGAGTAGAGGTGAAATTGCAACGGCACAAACACATGCTTGAATTCATGTTCTTGAGAAACACTTCAATGACAACGCAACCAGAGCACTCCAACTACCATAGTTCTGCTGAAGTCAAACAACCAACACGGTCACTGTTGGCAGCTACACTGTGTTGACAGGCCTCTTTCACACACTCACAGGCTGAGATGTTGGCAGCCGCGATGTTGTGATGCTCTGTGTGGCAAGGGCATCAGGCCACAGGTCACTGAGGGGTTTGACTGAGCTGTGCCAGGTTGTTTGTCCTCTTATAGCAGTGTACATGTATTGTTTGTAGTCTTTTTTTGTGCTTCCCGGCCTTTTTTGTCAGACATTCCCTGACATGGGCCCTGTCAAGAGGGATACACTCCTCCATCAACACCACCCATCATCTTCTAAATGTTTTCACGCACTTTATTGCAACATTAGTGTTTAGCCGTTCTAGCCGACTCACACCTTATGTACAAAAAGTTTGAGGTTGTGTAAGAATCACAGTACACATTATTCAGATATTGAACATAGTGTTTGTGTCACTGTACTGTCGCCTTTCTTGTTGCTATGGAGAGTTTATCAGCCTTTTGTTTGTATGAGATAGGGGAGAGTGGGCATCGCTGGATTCTTTCCACTCCTCGATGTCGCTGCGGCAGCCAGGGGGTAAACACCCTGGTTCAGTGGCCATATTTGGATCAGCTGCTGCTGGCCTGTTTGCTCATCTAAACATGAGACTGACTGTTAAATATGCCTCACTTGACAGCTGCCACCCACAGGACGTTTCATTCAACAACATAAACAGATAACCGTTCCTGGAAAAAATAAAATTTGTGCCAGATAACATGTATATAACACGTGCACTTTAAGCATATCAGCTCACAGTGCACACGATGTGGAGGAAGAAGAACTCAGACACTTTACTGAATTGAAAGTTAGAAAAAATAAGCACAACCAAAATGAAAAATACAATTTAAAGTACTGCAATCTAAATTTTACTTAAATAGTACAGAAGTATTATCAGCGAGGAGCCATCCCCAGAACACTTTATACTCTATAAAATACCTATACTAATACTATTTTATACCGTCCACCTTTGGAAACACTGGGGCAAAGAGGATTTTCCAGTTGAAATTAGTGTCTTGGCTGTGATCAATCAGCATCAGAGGTTGTTTTATGGCTGTTGGCTGATGCAATGTAGACTCTGAACAGTTAAAAACTACAAGCTCAGCTTCAGGCTTATTGTATTTACCTTCCTCCTTCAGAACAGTGATTCCCAACCTTTGGCTTGCGAACCTTAGAAGCAAAGCCATGTCAACTACATGTCATGCTCTCAGTCATGCTCTCTTCACAGTTTCATCTAAAACAGGGAAAATCATCAAATATTTCACAATAACAAGCGTTAATAATTATAATTATTAATAATGAACATTCAGATTTTCTCAACAGTACCTTGCTAGACTCAATAGGATAGAGAGCCTTCTACAACTTTACATCTGTCACACTGAAGTGAAATATAGAGGTAAATCCTGACAATTGAAGAACAACTGAACTGAATCAGTAATGCATTCTGACTGGCGTTCTGATAGGTTGATTTTTAGCAATTTGTATCAACCAATCAGAGCACGGTTACAAACAAAACAATCAATAAGAATATCAGAATAGAGCTGCAAACCAACCAACCAACCAACCAACCAGAGCACAGCTACAAACCAACTAACCAGAACACGGCTGCAAATTAACCATTTAGAAAAAGGCTACAAACTGTCACCATGACCTTGACCTTTGACCTTTAACCACCAGAATTGAATAAGTTTGTTCTTGCTTCTTAGTGAATGTTTGTGCCAAATTTAAAGGAATTCCCTCTCGGTGTGACTGAGATATCACGAGAATGGTAATGGACGGACGGATGGATGGACGGACAACCCAGAAACATAAAGCCATAAGGCATAAAAATATGTGACACATCAAGCCAAAAGAAGAAGCCAGTTATTATTAGAGCTCCCTTTAGGCCCTTCAGCTGCATGACTCTCACATGCCCCTGGTCTCAAACTACTACTACTGTGTGACTGGTCTGTTTCCCTGTGATGACCTCTTGCTTACTGGGCTCTGGACCGAGTACAGCGAGTTTTAGAAGACAGTGTGATCAAGCTCGTCATTTGCTGGCAATAATAGCAGCGTAAGTAGAGGAACACCAGTGGAGTGGAAACCCCTGCTGACATAAATCTTCTTGTGTCCAGCAGTATGATTTTTTTTTTTTGTGCCTGAGGGTCTGGTGCTGGGAAGCCTGCAGGGTAGAGTTGCTGAACATGATCTCATCCCCACCTTGACAACAGATCCTGTAACACTGAGGTGAAAACTCTTCTCGCCACTGACTGACATAATCCACTCTGTATACCTGATCAACTACGGTCTAATCCCACACAGACAGTATCAAATGACACACTGCAAAAGGAGCATTTTGTAATTAAATTTGTTCTTTTTTTTATTATTTGGATTATATTTACAGTATTTACAATCATTTCAGTCACAAAAGTGTTGCTATAAAAATCAACCTTTAACATACTGTATGATTAGGATAAATATAATACAAAAGAAAACGGTTCATTTTCAACACGTATGGACCCAGGGCATTTTGTCCTTATATGGCACAGCGTAATTAACAATCCCAGACTGACCTCGCCTTATTGGCTCACAGCCGGTACAGAACTCAAACATGACAATGAACTGCTTCAGGGGTTTAATAACATCGGCCTCCATTGAAATCTGCTAAAACCATTAAAGCTCCAGACTAGAGGTCTTTATGGATCCATCCGAACCCTAACACCCGCAACCTGCACGGATTCAGATCCATGTTTACTGAAAAGGGTTCCAGGTCGGCTCCTGTTGTGTTTAACATTATGTGTAATACCCGAGTGGATCTGAGAAGAACCGGGTGTGATCAGACAGCGCTGATCAGCTGAGTGCTGTGTGCTGTGTATGTGTGTGTGTGTATTGTAACTTTCAACGTTGTAATAACGTTAGGATGAGAAAGTAAAGATGCGCCATTGAATATAAACATATATTTCTCCTCAACGAGTTGAGTGACGTCATGGGCAGAGAGGGGGTAAAGTTCGATACCCAAGCTCAAAGCAGCCCCTATTCTAGACAAGTCGCATTTGTCGTCCGTCTCCATGACGACAAGTGGACTTTTTTACACTGAAATAACGAGCGTCTCCCAGCTGGGCTCGGGTCCAACATCTTGCGGTTCTGTATGGGTCCGGGACCAGCTTTCAAATACTAAATGAGTCCGGTTTAGGTTCAGGTTTGGCATTTCCCTGTTCAGGTCCCAACCCGACTGGTCTGGTTCAGCTCCAGGTACTACATGTTCGGGTATTTTTGGGTTTGGGTGCAAATTTTTGGACCTGTGAAGACCTCTACTCCTGGTGCTGCAGTTTCTATCACATAATACTCTTTATCTCTGTTATAAATGAGACTTAACGCACAGAAGAGTGGATTACATTCAGCCTGGTCCAAAAGAAATGGATGTTAAGATAACACTGTATCTTATCAGACTTTTTTTTTTTTTTTTGAGTGAAATGTCAAATGACGGAGCAAATATCCACGCAGAAAGCACAAAAACCCACTCAACCTCAAAGGCATACATTTGTTCAAATCTACAGACTCCACAGTATTACAGTACTTTAAATTTAACAAGGTGCAACAGGAGTATTAGTTTAAATAGTTCAAGTACTTTCAATGACACAAGCCTTTGGGTGAAATTGCTACTGTAAGGCTTGGGTGACACGCTGCCTTGGTTGTTGTTTACACCCCACCAAGCCCCCCCCCCTTTAGAGATGATTGTAACAAGTATTCTCTGTTAGTAGCTGTTTTCTATTTGTCTACTTTCTCATGAATGACCCAGAAGGACAACAGGGACTGAAAACAGCATGAACATGCTACTGCTAAATCCAGACTGTACCCATCTGCCTTGGAAGATGATGACATGGGAGTATGAAGACAGATATTCTGGAGGCTTCGCGGTGCGTAGGCTTGAAGCACCAGAGCTGCAGGACTTTTTTTTTTTTTTTTTACTTGGCCACCTTATAGTTGCTCAGATCCAGGGGCTCTTTGCTGGGTATACACCAGTCGTCGGCCTCTTGGCTCACTTTGTAGTTCTTCAGGGCAGTTTTGTTGTACACGGGCAGCCTCTCGATGGAGTCTGTGGACAGCGCCTGGAGGGAGAAGAAGACTAGATGTAAATGGCCTGTCGTACCTCAGGTGGCCACGCAGGTCTTCAGAGTTTGGTTTGTGTTAAACAAAGACACGTCACAAGTCAATTGTCTCCCTCTGTTATGTGCTGCGGATTTCCAAACTCTTGGCATCTTGTCACAGTTTCATGCACGATCGCCATGTCTGGCTTACCTTCAAGTAAATGACAGCATCTGTGCCGTGGCCCTCCATGGAGTAGAGCTGCAGGTCCCCCTGGAAGTACTTGGCGTAGAGACGAGAGATGGGCAGACCATAGCCGAAGCCAGCCTGCGCGACAAGAGAGAGAGAGAGAGAGAGAGGGAGGAGATCAAGGGTTTAAGAAGGATTTGTTCTGTGTCGCACTGCAAGCAGCGGAGCTTTTCGATGGAACAGACAGGTCTTTTGTCAAGTTCGCTTTGTGCATTGTAGATCATTCAATTTTTAAAGACAAAAAAATGATGCCAGGATTTTAATCTTTAAATAGATAGAAGGCTAAATTAGTATTTTGATGCTTGTAGGCTGCACAGATGTTTATCCAAATGGCAAATGGTGAAATTAATTAACAGCATATCTACACCTGCTAAAATAACTATATTTGTTTTGCAATATATGTAAAAGTGCAAATGAGTTAATAAATGAAATCTGGACACCTCACTGCTTGTATCTCTACTTACCAGTGGAGGCCGTGTGTGCTCTCCTATCTGTGGAGCAGGAGCAGTGGAGTACATGTAGCTGAAAAGGTTCTCGATCCTACGAAACGGGACACCACCACCTGTGTCGCTCACCTACAGGCAGGGACAGAAATAGAGGTGTAAGACAGAGACACGGAGAGAGGGTATGTGCATGAGAAGGTGGAGGTGATGCCAGCAGACAAGTGACCGTCTGTCTCCAACACTTGGCCTTGACATAAGGGTGGAAACTAAGTGGCTTTCTGTCTGTTTACACCACATATCGTCATGGTGAAAGTGCAAGAGGACCAGGGACTGTGTCAAAGGCTGCTGCTGGTAGAGCAGATAGATACAGTATAGGCTTGGGCAATAACCAAAGTTGAATATCTCAATACAGTCCAGCCGGTACCACTGTACAATAACACTACCCTTATAAAGGATTTGTAAATGGTTTACAATTAGGTTCTTAACAATTTATAAATCATAAATAAACAATTCATAAATCCTTTATAAGGGTAGTCTTATTGTAAAGTGGTACCGTCCAGCCAAAATATTGCAATATACAATATTATCGCAGTCAACTGAAAGTTTCATCTGTCAGGCACAATGTACGGTATGCAAATGTACAGTATGAAAACACAGGGTCAGACTTGACAGCAGGGTAGACTGCAAAAAACTATTAGCATTTTTTAGATATTATGAAAAATATTGCATATGGCAGGAAATATTGCCAATATTGATATTATTGAATATCAGCCCAAGCATTATACAGTACCATATCAGCAAAGAGAAGACAGAAAAGATGCATTATAACACTACAAACTGCTAAGCTCAGCTGAGCTTTTTTGTTTACTGAAAAAGGCTCCCTGCTGTTGCTGGAATGGGGGTAAGACTAAGCTAAACACTTAAATTGTGGGCAGTCAAACCAAAACAATCAGCTGAAAGACATTAAAACTAAAGAGCACTGCAGAGCCCGGTGATAATTATCTGTGAATTCCTCACTGCAAGCTACATTTTTCACCTTTAACAATACTAATTAGCAGACTTTAAAGTTCTTATTTTCACTTTCTTTCTGTTTTATAAATTTGGGCCTGGGCTAATACATTTTTTGTTTCCTGTCTGGCACTTCACTTGCGGCCAGATGTCTGAGTGACGAGACGTCTTAGTAACACATTGGCATTAAGACAAGGTTTAAAGGCTCTATGAATATGAAGGCGCTCAGCCCATGTAGCTAATCTTATCAGAGTTTAGTAGCTTAGCATGCCAGCAGGCGCTGTGCTTAATTGAGGGTGAAATTGTTACATAACAGATTCAGAGAAAGATTTGTGTGACAATGACAGAAAAGGGTGAGACTCCTGGCTTTAAAAGCAAAGACATAGATGAACTTGGTGAAAGCGTTAAGTAACGTCATGGACTTGTTAAACTTGTCTTGTTTCACACAGAGCTTATAGTCATAAAAACACACCCTCATCTGAATATTGAATCTCTAATCCTCCTCTTTTTATTATGTGAACATTACGGGAGGAAAATCCTGGAGGCGACCTGCGCAAACACAGACTTGAACATGCAAAAACAAAGTCCACTAAAGGGAGGAGCCGAGCTTGGATTCTGGTCTAAAGATAGACAGTGCCGTATGCTGTATAGATTTTGAGCTGCGATATCCTAATGTAACAAAAATAACCACAACATTATTCATAACAGCTGTACTGTAATATGCAACCCACCTTGATTGACATGTCCTCGCCTCCCAGAGACACCCAGACTTTAATGGGTGGGAGGTTGTTGCTGCACTCATGGGTCTCAATAGTGGCCCTCATAGCATTCTACGAAAAGAAGGTGAAACAAACACTGTAAGAAAGCTCAAGTTAAAGTTGTTATTAGATTAATTAATCTTCTATTTGAGTATAATATCATACCTTAAAGAGCTCAAACAGCATGTGATAAAGGTGAGAAGGCACGTATACAATGCTTATTGAGTGGTTCTTCTTCTTATCTGCACGGGGAGGGAAACAAAAAGCGTTTCTTAATTTCATCCACTTCATTTAAAATTCATTATCCTCACCACTCGTGGATGTTTTTTTTCATCAGTACCAATTACTCTGCTCAGCTCTGCTGTGGCTTTACAGTTTTGTGAGGATGGAGAGGAGAGGGTCTGCTGTGTGTCAATATTGTCTGACGCAGTCAGCCGGGGCCCACTAAGCCATTACTTCGGCTTCAGCGCTATAATTAGAGGCCCATCAGGTCCATCTGGCTGAATGCTGATTTCCATACGATCGCTCGTACTGTATGTATACACACACACAGAAGGCTTGGCTATGTTTGTTCTTTATTTAAATCTCTTCGACAGACTACGAGGACGTTTCTCCCTTGTGCTGTTGGCAGTAAGAATAAAACTGGGGTTGTGTTTAACCTGCCAGATTAAATCAGTGTAAACTTACTGTTCATCTCCTGAAGTATCAGATCAGGGGAGCGGAGATAGTACTGGTCACACAGCATCTTAGCACTGTAGAAGGCATCTGACAAAGCAAGGGGGTAATACTGTCAGAAATTGTGATTACAATATAGTCGTAGTAATCAATAAAATCAAAGGGGTGAGAAAATTCTTCTAAATTACAAGACAAATCATTTTAATGCATCAAAACTTTTGTTCTTTGCCGTCTGAAACAAAACAGAATCCATATTTACCCTGGACTACATCTCCGACTTGACAGTGAGGGTCAATGCTGCCGATGGTGTTTGGGTGCACAGGGTTGGTCGTGCCATCAAAAATAAGAGCTGCAGAGAACCAAAAAACATTAAGTTAAGAAGAACAGAATACACTGTGTCATCTGTAGTTAACGGAACATCAACATATCAAGTTAAGGAATAATTAGGGCTGAGCACAATTTGAAATTTAGGCAATATGGTACAGGCTTCTATACCGATGTCAAGATGATACTTTTATCAATTATCAATAAACAACTTGTGTGTACAAAATTAAGTTTTAATAAGTATAATGATTATGTATTATGATCCGTTATGCAGCCTGTGAGCTAAGACCGGTATGAGACACAGAAACCTCCATATGTGGGAAAAATCTCCATGCAGTCAATAAAAACATAAACATTTCCCATCATGCCATGGCAGTCTTGAAACACAATGATATGCATCAACATGACTGATGACACCTCTACAAACTCCAGGTAACAAAACGTTTGCTTTTACGTTACATTCATTTGCTCCCATACAAAGGGAATTCATTTTAGTTTTAGTGTCTTGCTCAAGGACACCTTGACAGAAGGACAGGAAGATTGAACAATCCGCTCTACCATCTACACTATTACCACCCAAATGCGACACCTTAACTAAATCGGTGCTGACAAAAGCAAGGAGAAAGAAAAGAAACCCAGTAGTTTATTTCCCATTTGCTTCTGTATACATCCCCCAATAGTTTTGCAGTGATATAAGCAGTGTTAGTAGCATTTCCTCACTGTATCTGTGTTTTGTCTCAATTCTGTGATAAAGTTTGTTTTGAATTATTATTTCAGGGTAGAGATTTATGTTTCCCTGTGGGTGTCAAGCAGGAGACAGTGAGCAGAGTGAACGCAATAATGTTGCATGGCCTCGTTCGACAATATTCATTTCAAAAAATAATGAACAATAACAGAACACAAATCAAGGTCGTGTTTTTAAATCGGACTCAAATCTCCACATGTTGTTTTTTCAGACCCTGCAACAGAAACTGCAGCAAATCGATCTGTATCAAGTCAGAAAAATGAGATCTCTATCTCACTGGTTGTTATCTTTTCAGTTTTCGGCTGACAAAATTATTAAATTCAACACATAAACAGCAGGTAAAGACAGACACATAAATGATGAAGCTCTGAGATACTCACTGTGCTGGTTGATGAGCATGCGGATTGAGATGCGGCTCATGTAGAAGCGGTCCAGAAAGTACTGGATGTTCTGGTTGGTTACTGGGTCATGGGGGAAGGCCTCTTTGTATTCTATGATGCCCTGGGCCATGGTTGGCACTACATCGTTGTGCCTGTTTCTGATAGTAACTAAGGCATCAACAAACCTGTGGAGGACAGGACATAAAGAACCATAAAAGGCCTGATATGAACACACAGCCTACAGAGTGCCAGTGGGTTGTTGTGTCTCATTACGACAAACATCAGACACTTACTCTCCCAGGACTTTATGGTCATCAGGATTCTTGTCAAGGAATTCAAGGATCTCCATTAAACTCTGGATGTACCTGATAAAAACAGAGATGAACACACATGTAAACCTGTTGTCAAGTGCAAGGAGTGAGAGCACAACCTTGCAGGAATTCCATTAGATCCTTGCAGGAGTATTTTTGTCATGGTGCATTCCTCACATAGAAAAGAGAAGCAGACCATGTTGAAAACAAGGTCACGTGACGTGTGACGTGAAACTAGGGGAGAGTTCACAGCCGAGAGCACCCCCGTCCCAACCCCCCACCTCACCCGCACAGAGCTAGCTGGAAGGAGTACAACTTGGTCAAAGGCTGCTTTTGTAATTCTGAGCATGACGTTGACACAGTGGGAAAATACACCGTCCCACTGAACGGCAGTAAACAAGTCAGCAGCTGTGTCTGTGAACGTCTCAGTCATCAGGGGATGGCACCTGGCGTCAGATATGGTTTTAATGGATTATCACAGAGGCTGAGACACAAGTTTTAATGTCTGACTGGTTTGTTTTCTTATGAGGTTTCTGTTTCGAAAGAACGCCTTGGCCACAGTACAGATGTTACATAATGTGGATCATAACAACACATAGGCTACATCTGGTTTTTTCCAGGTTAGACTCACCAGCTCTGCACCATTTGCACAGACGGGGTTGTGAGCAGTCTGTCAGGCAGGAGGTTGATTTCCTTCATAATGTTTGAAAGTCTGACAGGGAGCTCCTGTCTCAGAAACACAAAGGATGTCTTCTCACAGGCGTTGATGGAACCTGAACCGACACAGAGAGAATATTGATCAGAGCTCATTGATAAGCTGATTGGCAAGAAATGAACAAGTTAATCATTTATACTTTTAATTTATACTATTAGTAAACATTTTACTATATGAATAATAAGTTAATCAAAAACAAATCAGAAAAGTAATCAATGATGACAGCGATCACTTGTTCCAGTCCTATTATATTAGGTTGAACTGGAAGACTCTGTTGGTTGGACAAAACAAGCACTTTGAAGATATCAGTGAGGGCTCTGGGAAACTATTTTCTGACATTTTAGTCAAACATTTAATTGAATTATTAACATAACAGATGAAAAGATGAACAGATAAAGAGAATTACTATGCGCTCAGCCCAAATAACATAGAATAAAATGGATATTTGGATTATTTTCAAGGCGTTTGCTTTGTAAATAGAAAACTTCTTCTTTCAAGCAGGCAATTAGTGTTTCTGAATGTTTTTACATAAAATGAATTCCTCTGCACGATCTGTATAATATCTGCTTCATAAGCTGCTGAAGGACTTTTAGGACAAATTATTTTCAGGAGCAGTGTCATTCAGTGTGTTTCCATCACAGGGCCCAGACGGTGCAGCCTGAGCTCGCTACAGATCTGACGCAACTCTGTGCTGTATGAGCACCATGCTACCACAGGCAGAGCCCCTGTAGCCCAGCCTCTGCACAGCAGATGCTCACACGTGCACGGGCCCGTTTTACATGTTGACAACAACGTGCATTGCATTTCTGATCAGATTTAAGCAGCTCCCACCGTCCACTTCCTCCACGTAGCTAGCTGCCTTGTTACGCCACAATTCACCCATCTGTCTGGTCGCCGATCAATACTCACCGAAGTCGAGGAATTGCTTCATGGAGAGGGGCGAGGGGGAGAATTTAGAGAAATGCTCGATATGTTTGGGCACGCTGGCCAAGGCAGCGTTTTTCATTATAAACCTAACGAACTTCATTATTGCTGTGGAGGGTCTCCTACGACTACGACGTCCAGTTAGATACTGGCCGAACCTGTTATCATGCAGCCGAATGAAAACAGGGGAGGCGCCCGCTGAAAAACAAGCAAAGCTCCAGCCAATCACAGGACGGGTTTTTTTTTTATTTACATCCCCGGCTGGCCAATAGAAATCGCCGGGGGGCGGGTTTAGTAAAGTTTGGGTGCTCCCAGTCTGGAATCTCCCTTAGGGGCCAGTTGTCCTTTTTTTTTTTGATTGTGTGAAAGGTGATTTAGTGATCACTTATCAAACAGCCATGACGCCATGTTTATTGCCCTTTGTTAGAGGGAACATACAGATACTAATGTCTGCAGCCGTATGACAACTGGACATGTAATTGACATCACATTTCTGGAAGTAATTGTAGTTAAAATATGGTTAATTTTGTGAGAGGGAAAAAAAAATACCATTCATTTATCTTCTAAATTAAAAAAAAAAAAATGAATGGATTTTATTCATGACCACGTTACATGTTGGAAAAGTTAGAAATTTGAAATATAGAACAATAACATGAGTTTAAATTGACAACTTCTACCTTGTTTATCATCATCTAAATCTGTTGAACCTTTTTGCACAACTGTGATCCATATCCAAGATAAATGTTGTCCTGTGGCTCTCATCCGGAGGCATCTACCTGGGAGAAAGCTTGTGTTTACATTAGCAGGTGTGGATGCGAGCAGAGGTTTGATGTTAGCATTCCATCCGCACCACAAACCAGCCGGGGTATAGCTTTTTGTGAATGGTCTCCAGAGGGAATACATCTGAAAACAACCGACCACGTGTTTTATAGTGGGCACAAATTTGTGTCAAAGAATTTTACAATCTTTACAGCATAAAACACCCTTTGTCCTCAGAGCCTCGATAACTTTCTGTTGCCTCTAACCCTGTCTGTGACCACAAAGCTCAGCTGTCGTCATTAACCTTTGTTTATCAGATGATTTTACCACCGTAAAATGGTGATTTAGCCTCCTGTTTGCTTAAAATTAAGAAGTAGTATTCAAGACCTGTGATCAAATTATCATTTCATGCTTGTTCAGTTGAATGACAACAGAAAAATATCCAATATGTAAATGACAACAGCTAAATTGTGAGTATAGAGTATAGATCAGAGCTGGAGGAGATTCGAATGAGGGTTTAACCTGCAGGTGACCGGGTTACTCTTGTCATTTTCACACATAAACTGCATTTTCAGTGCATCTGCATAGTCTGACACTGTTCAAACTGGAGGACATGGTGAACATAAGCTTATCCATGTAGCTACCTTACTGAAAGGAACTTAAAAAAGTTCCTCCATCATCCTCCTCTGGATGATAACCTTTCTGCTCCTTGTTTATTTCCCCCTTTCCTAATGGACAGAAGTTCACCCTGTGTGAATGATTCCCCGGAAGCTTGCCACCAATGGGTTTGAATAGAAATGCCTTTGTCAGGGAACACAGTGTCCTGGTCAAATCTCCCATTACATAACTGTCGGCTGTGTCAGTACAGTTGGGATTGTCATTATAGAGCCGGGCCAGGCCAGCCTCACCATCAAAACACTAGTTTACACATTCTCAAGTTGCATGTGGGAAGCAAAGGAAGAAAAAAAAAAAAAAAAGAAACTGAGAGTATTATTGCAGCGAAATGTCAGAAATCGACGCCACGAAATGTCACGGCTCATTTCAGCTTCGCCAGCTCGTAGCACATAATCAGCTGGTCCCTGCTACACAAAATCAAAACAAGCATTAGTCATATTGTTTTCAAATGACAGTTGTTTGGTTGTAGTTGTACTACATCATCTACATTCATGCTCTGATAGGATTCAATCTCATGGTATTTGAAGCTTCATTTGACAGTTTTTTGATATGAGCTGTCCACTTGACATACCCAAAATGCCAGCATGGGTTTTTATGTTTTGCTTGCAGTGTAGTCTGGATCTAAATACTTACGAGCTCACAAAAGAACTTGTCACTTGTCATTGCAACACATTTAAATCTGCCAGTCACAGCAAAATATGTTGTCCTTCAGGCGAATGTGTCCTTAGTAGAAGCCAAAAATGAATCAGTCAACTGAAGGAGCTCCTGCTAGGAAAGAGAAGCTTTGGCATGCACTAGATTTATTACCCATGGAGATTTATTTGTTTTTGACCACAGGAAACTGAAGGCAGTAAAGTAAAATGTTATTTCAAAGTGGAAGTTATTCATTCATATTTGCCTAGAGGTCCCGCTTCCTCACTATGGTTTACCCAACACTAATATGAAAAGTAGGATTTATAATGGCAACATGTTAAACATTCTTATCCTGAGCTTAAAATTCAGTGTGTCCATTATCAAGCACATTCATGATTCAGTTTCTTACATCACAGAAACCCCTGGCCTTATTTTACTTCACATAGAAATGATCCCAGTGCGTTTCAGCAGTCTGGTGCATGGATTTTAAATGTGGAAAAAAAAAAAAAAAGAACACTGGTATCAGATTAATACCAGGATCAGTTGATACTCTGGGTTTTGGTGCTGGAATAGGCAGCAGGAGGGAAAAAGTCAGATGAGTACATCCCTGAATAACAATTTCTCTGCACTTATAATAGAGTACTTTTACTTATACTTTACTTATGGTTTTAATGGTGGTTTACCAATTGCCAATAAAGAGTGGCAGCATATAGATTAGTTATGAATCCTTGAAGTACAACTTCAGACTGTTGTTTTGTATGAGCATGGCCCTGGAGACACATCTAGTGGAGAGTACTTAACTGGTCAGGGGTGGATTGGGGTGGGTTGGGGTGGTGTGGGGGGGGTTGTTGTTGGCTCCCCCCAGTACTTTTCCGCTCTCCACCGGCCTACATTCCTGCCAGCAGTCAGCTCCTATTGCCCACTGTCAACAGCGGGGCATAACGGGCATAAATGGTCGGGCATTCTGTCAGTGCCATATCAGCTCAAGAGTGAGAGCCAATGGACAACAACAACTCCAGTGGAAATTTCCTCTCGCTCCAGGCCAGGGGGAGCTGTTGATGGCCCATTGGGCAGCGCTGGGGTCAGTTCAGTTAGAAAACTGCTTTTAAATACCGCTGACTCACTGACACACAGGGTGAAATATAACAAAAGATTAATGTTTGAATCAAATCCACTTCTTTCTGAACTCCAGTCCTTGTTATTATATCTGTTTTGAAAAGATCAAAACATTTAATAATTAATCAAACCCAATGCTTTTTTTTTTTTCATTTGTCTGACCAGGGTAATCATTACAACATTCACAGTGTGAAGTTCCTATATCATGAAACAAAGGATGATGGCTGTGCCACGTGAATACAGATTAGAGAAGACGTTCTGCTAATCAAGCGTATGAATAGAGCTTTTACATGGTCATTATAATCATTTTGAAAGGAGCTGCTGACAGTGAATGCTGAAAAAAAGTACAAGGGGAATAATAATAAAAGACAGAAAACTTAAAGAGTGTTAACTTAACACTAGAGTTTGTGAAGATCTCACCTTTCATTAGTGAGATTCTATTCTTTTATTTTCTTAATATTTCCACTGTGCCTTCTGTTATTGGTAGTACGGCTCTTCTTACACATCCTAACCACTACTGCAGCTGTCAATCACGATGCTCTCTCAGCTTTATGACGTTTCAAAAAATATATTTTTTTTTGTTTTGTTTTTACCTATTCTGGGAGTTCCTTACCGTGTGAAGCCATGTTGCATTGGACACAACCCAGACATAACCTGTGGAATCTGCAGGTTCTTTTACAACCTTGCAACATATTAATCGGCCCTCACAGATAAATAGAAATCACTTTTAATCTGCACAGCAACAGATAGAAGTTTAAATTTTGGGTCGGCACCCATTAAACTTCTTGGATATTTGAGTTGAGCATGCCAGTTCTTTTTCTGCAGTCTCTTATAACCTTGTTTATGCAATTAGCCTTAATTGGAAACCAAAGATGGAATCACCTTTGCTGCAGTGATAGCAGATAAACTGATTTTTGTTGGAGTGGTCACATGTGTACTCACTTTTGTTGCGTTGAAGTTTTACTTTGGGGCCTTTATTTTCAATGTAGACTATCTAACCCCTTTGTTTTTGATCATACAAATTAAATTGTCCACAATTCTTGTAAGATTGTACAACTTCGAATCATTTAACATTTTAGTGATATTGCACAGGGGTGTACGCAGTTTTGTTGTATATTGTAAATACAGGAATAAACCCGTCTCCTTGAAATTACATTTACTAATTTGATACCAATTACAATTTGGAAGAAATGTTTCTGAGGGAAATGAATTAATCAGTGAATTCAATTTAAGAGAAAAAAAATGCCTGTTTATACTGTATGTAGGGTTTATGCACCTGGGGAGAAGGTGATGGTTGTGTGTTCTGCCCTTGAAGGAAAATCATTATAATATCCCAGTAATCAGTCACACGCTCATGATCGAGCCAGGGCTCTGGATTCGACAGGCTAACGGCAACATCTTTGCTTCAAAGTCAACCTGAAAATTAGTTTATTGAGCTCATCTTTTCTGTTTAAGACTCTAAGATGTCTAAGAAGAAATAAAAGCCATACAAACATTTTTTTTTTTAAATGAACACGTTCTCTGCCAGGAAGTATTTCCTGAAAGTCTGTTTTTTTTTATGTGCTCTTGGAGTTTTGCACAGCAGCGTACAGTATAGCCTCTTGATTTGAGAACCAAATAACTGACTGGGTACAACCTCTCAATGAGATTAATGTGAGATCAAATCCAATAATTAACAATTCAAGAAGTTTCCAGAAAACACATTTCTAATGCAGGTAAGAATGTTCGCAATTTAAAATTCATTAATAGTAAACACACAAGTGCACAGCTGCCCTTTAGTCCTCAGCATGAGCAACAGCATGGGGCTGCTGAACATAAAGAGACATTTTAATAATCATTTTACTGATTGATAGACACTGTGTTTGAACTCATATATAACCTATTCCACAGGAAAAACATGCACGCACATACATAAAACATATAAAAACACACAGTGCCTGGGTGCCTTCAAGCATATCAGTCGGCTGTAGTGGTCTGCA